AACCATAAGGGTGTGATTTGAACTTTTCAAAACATTACTAGGGTTTTAGAATTTAACATTCCTAATTAAACCTTTAATCAACTTCTAAATTCCAAAACTTGAGGGCAAGTTTTGAAACCTTTTTCAAAACATTAGGGTTTTAACTATTTAAATTTTAAAACTCCAAAACTTTTAGGTTCAAATTTAAACTATAAAACCTAAAGGGGAAAATATGAAACCTTTCATAACAACAAGGATCAAATAACAAATAATTTTAAATTAACATTTAATCACATAATTATCCATATTTGATTTATTTAATGATTTCTTGCAAAACAATTTATCAATTTACTCAAAATAATTAATCAATTATCTTATAAGGAAACAATTATCTTGTTAATTGATAATTATCTTTAATTATATCAAGAATATAGTCATATATATCATAAAATCGGATTTATATTGATCTAACATGATAAGGTAACTATCCATAAGCATTATCTGACGCTCGAACTTGCCGACTACCACACTGTAGTCGCCGAGTTGAGGTCTACTCGTCGAGTACACTGTGGTACTCGCCGAGTTCCTCAGCCATAAAGCCCAAAAAACGATTTTCCAGTTATACAATGCATCAATACAATTGAAACCAAGCTAGTCTCTGATACCACTGATGGGTTTTGGTCATAAGACATCCTATGTGCTCATACAAACCCTAATGCTTGGATCTAGGTTTCTCTATTGTACATGCTTTGAATCCAAGACTATAAACCCTAATTCTAACATATGGAAATCGACATTAACATATAATTAGGTTTAAGAACATACCTTGATTGTTATATAGCAATAACAATCCTAATTCCTCCTTGTATTGACTTTGGAAGGCTTAGAGTCACAAGTGTCACTCCTCTAATGGCTCACAAACACCATAAGAAAATGAAGAAGGTATAAAGAGAGAGGTGAGAGGTTATAATTCGTATCTAGGACCTCTTGGGAAGGGATTCACGAATTCATGACCCTAGGGGTGTTTATATAGGTGTAGAGATAGGGTTTCAGTCATTATCCTTATCTAGTTGATTATCCATTAAGCAACCAATAAGATAATCCTTGAATCCTTATCATACTCAAATTCTAAGGCTTTCCAACCTTTAATTCGTCCACCATATAAATAAGATAATCCTTACCTTATTTTGTAACTATCACATAATTACAAATCAGCCCCTCTAGTTTAATTAATTACATTTGATCACAAAACTAATTCTTAATTAATTATTGACCAATATTAATTAAACAAATATGATTTCTCCTTTAATATATTATTCTTATAACATATTAATAAATCATATTATCCTCTCTCTCTTTATTCATTTCTCCAATCAAGTTGCTTTGGTGAAGGCAACCCAAAAGGACCATGCACCATCGGGTCAAGTACATACCAAAATAGTTATGGACTTAGACACTAATCCAACAAAAAGGTGTCACCGAACCCAAGCAACTCTACCCCACACGGGTATCTAACTACTCTCTCAGTAGGCTCATCCAATGCTCATCTAGGTATCTCTCCTAGATTACTCCTCTATTCAAAACTCTACCTCTGAAATATTCTTGTTGGTTACTCTTATTCCGCACATACTCAAAGCACATCACAGATAGCAAAATCCCTAGGCTATAGCGTCACAAATTATGCAACTCTAGCCCTAAAATATGAAATACCTAGCGTATCACCTAGCATGCATCACTAATATCTCAATAATAACTCATAACATAGCTAGGTAAGGGTACTTTGGGAAATCACCGTTCGGGCTCTAGCTGATTGTAAACATTGCTTCTTCTTGCTTTTTCTCTTAGAAACTCTTACTCGTTTTAGAAAAATCTTTTCTTTTTGAAAACTTTTCTAAAATCCTCAGATGGAGTCCAGACTTACCCGAAGGTACATCCGAATCCCACAAACCAAGGCTCTGATACCAACTTGTAACACCATAAAATTTCAAATAAAAATTCCATTTAAAATTGCATAATTCTCATGATAACACATTTTACAAAAATCTCATTTATTTAATTTAGAAATCGCAACTCAATAATTGTTTGATTAAAATCCAGGATCTTCAAAACATAACTCTTTCACTGGTGTGTACAATCAAGTCGGTGCCTTCCCGTAATCCTGAGAAAAACATGAAACAGATAACACATAACACGGTAAGCACGAAGCTTAGTGAGTTCCCCAAAATACCAGACACAGAAGCCATAACATAGTGAGACCCTCCAGTCAATGTGTCTCAGTGGGACCCTCTAGTCCCATAACTTGGGTGGACCCTCCGGTCCTATCTTAGTAAGCACAAAATAATACACATCATAAATCACATAGACATAATGCAGGATATCACAGTACTCAATATAAACAAATAAGACATCTCAGTCACACAAAGATACCACTCATGGTAAGTATAATGAGAAGACTCACCTTGAAACACGTAAGCAATTACACCTCAAACTAGCCACTGCTTGACACATAGGGTACATATCTCTAATTAATACTCGATTCTCGAATCGAAGTAACCAAATGTTATTCTTCTCTCTCTAACTCTTGAATTGGGTAAAAGACCAATTTACCCCTCCATGGTCTCCAATACTCATATTGACCAAATCTTAAAGTCAACAGAAGTCAAACTCAAGTCAACAGTCCATGTTTAATCTGACTCGCCGAGTCCACTCGTTTATTCAGAAATATTGTGAAGGTGCAGCTTAGCTCGTCGAGTTGACCCCCAACTCACCGAGTTATCGCATGATCAAGCTCATCGGGACAAACCCTCACCGACTCGTCGATTCGGCTCATTGACTCGGCGAGTCCATTCAAACTAAATCCTCAATCAGACGATTCTAAGTAGATCTACAACCCTATACTCCATATCTATCCTCCTAAGGCTCGAATAGCACGTAAAACTGCAAGCTTTACGTTCATACATGGCATATAAGGCTCATACTGCCAATACATGCACCAAGGACTAGATGCACAAGAGCTTGCCTCCAGCTCAATAAAGCTCGAGTCTATGGACTCATAAGGCCACTTATAGTCCAGATATGAGGTTCCAACCACAAGCCATGCACAAATCACTCCATGACACAAGACAGATGTAAGAAAACCCTAAAAACTCCCTAAAACAAGATCTCATCAGGAAATGGTCAAGCTAGCATCTTTTCACCTCCAAGTAAAGCAAAACTCTGAAGAATCTCTGGATCTAAAAGCCTCCTCTTGATCCAAGCTTTGATGCTTTCCACTTCTTCCTCCAAAAGGTCACAACATGCCCAAAATTATGTCTCTTCTCTCTTTTAGCTCACTCTAAGCGATTAGGGTTTCTCTCTAGAAGTAAGGAGGTTGATGGGGCGGCTTAAGTTCCTTTAAATAGGACCAAACCCCGAGAAATTGGGTTTTCTCTGTCCAGCACCTACTCGGCGAGTCGACTCTCTGACTCGTCGAGTCCATTCATTAATGTCACACAGACAACTCAAGTCTACTAAACGAGTTGGACACACAACTTGCTGAGTCACTCCACAAACCTCAAAGTTAAACACCTTAATGCACCTGAAAGTCTGGATGTTACAAACATTTAAAAAAAATTAATATTTCTTTAAATAAAAAAATATATACTTTAAATACTTATTTTAGAAAATTTATTTTTATAATGTCACTACTATATTAAGTAGAAGTATACCTTAAATTTTTATAATTTTTGAGAATTTTTTACTTGGTTTTATAATTAGAAAAAATTCAAAATTTCATGGTTATGCTCATTTTATTGAGAATTAAATTTTAAAAACTTTTGGTTTTCTTCTAGATTTCTTTTCAAAGAAGAAAAAAGTTATTGGCAAAAAATAAAGTGGATCGGAAAAAATATTACTAAATGAGTGTTTGATATGTGTTAGAGAGAGAAAAGAGAGGGGGGGGGGGGGGAATTCATACGCAGAGAGTTTTTTTTTCTTAACTTTTACCAATTTAACCTCCAAACAATTAACTTTTGCTGAAAAATGTCAAAATCTTATACATAATTATAAAAACACCATATCATCTCATGAGATATTTATGATAAATAAAATTAAATCTCCGTCTTTTATTTTTTCAATCCTACGGCAAAGGTTTATTATCGCAGTCCTCACTTATTTTTGAATACTCACTCGATCCAACTTTTCTCTCTCTCTCTCTCTCTCTCTCTCTCTATATATATATATATATATATATATATATATATATATATATATAGTTACGTTCATGTGTTTTTTATATTTATTGTGTGCTACAATGTATCAATAAAATTTTATTAAAATTTAATAATTATTTAATTAAATAAAGATAGCTATTAAATGATTTCCACAATTGTATATATAAAATGATATTCATAATTATAATTATCTTTTTTATGCAAAATAAATAATTCGTCATTAATGTCATCAACAACATTTTTTAGAATGAATTTGTATCTACGTTTTCTTGTACTGGTTCGTGTTATGTTTATTGAATCATTCACTTAAAATACAACAAAATTGTATTAAATATGAAGAACAGAAGTGTATTCTAGTAGAATACACTCTCATTTTGTTAGAATTTACTTTCATTTTTGGAGAATAAACTTGCAATCTACTATATTGCACTCTTGTTCTCTATGTTTTAGGCAACTTTGTTAAATTTTTAATGAGTGAGTCATGAAACAAAATACGAACTCATACATAAAAAACTAGATGCGAATTTATTCTGAAATAATATTATTTATAATATTAATGCCGAATTTAATTAGTTTCTAGAAAAAAGAATTATAATGGTGGTTATAATTTAATATACATTTAATTATGGAAATCATTTAATATCTATTTTTTTATTAAATAATAATTTAATTTTTACTGAATTCTTATTGTTGAATTGTAGCACACAATAAATATAAGAAACATTAAAACTTATATATATATATATATATATATATATATATATATATATATATATATATATATATATATATATATATAGTTTGGTTCATATGAGACGGCCTAATTTTGTGAGACCGTAAGATGCAATCCTATCTACTCATTTAGTAGATAAAACAAAAACATTTTTAAAATGCAAAATAGTTAAAATATTTCGAAATTTTTTTCCAATATTATTTTCGAAATATATATTTTGTAAAAAAAATTAAAAAAATAATTTAATGCATTTTTTTTACAAATTCTAGTAGAATATTAGAATATTCTACATATCTTGCAAAATCTAGTAGAATATTTTAACATTCTAAAAATTACATTAGAACATTTACAGTATAATATTTCACGTATTTTGAAAAAAACGGTAACTTTTTTTATTATTATTTTTATTTTTTAAATAAATAAAGTTCCGAAAATAGTAATTAAAAAAAAGAATTTTTGGATATTTCTTTTTATTTTGTATTTTAAAATTATTTTTAGATTTGGTTTCATGGTTTTACAAAATTAGCATATTCAAGCATAATTGAAGGTTGAATTAAAGGAACCAAAACCGAATTTTTGTTGTTAACTGTTGAATCGTATTGATTATTGATGAAGATCGATGATTGATTAGCACTGGATGATGTTGATGATGGTTTAATTTAAGAAATTTGGATGATTGTTGAAAGTTGGAGAAGTAAATTTGGATGATGAACGATGAATGAGTTTGAACTGTAATCTAATTCTCTACAGATACGTATTTGAGATTGAAGGTTGTTATCATATTTACAAGTTTGCCACCGTATCTTTCTATGCTTAGATAAAATGAGTGGCTGAAAATGATTCCCCTATTCTCAACCTTTTTTATTTTTTTAATTGAACCCACCTATATATATATATATATATATATATATATATATATATATATATAGTTGATAATCGTTAAAATGAAATTATTAAGTATATATATTGAATGTTGTAATATCAACTTTATTCAACGGTATCATATCAACTTCTATTACTATTACTTTAAAAATATTATTATGATATATAATTGTCTTAATTTCTTAATAGCATCTTTATAATTTAAAAATTAAAAAACTACTAGGTAGGGAAAATATTTGTGGGTAGAGGGGTATATAAATAGATTTTGCCAAATTAGCTTTTGTTTTAATGAAAGCATGAGATATTTGGCAGACAGCAAAGAGCAAAATATATGAATATTTATAAGAAAGATGTTAAACGTTTTAATCCCAAAGTTCATTTCTTTCCCAACGTTGTTGGAAAGATGAATATTTATAAGAATTTCACATAATTTCCGGCTTTCCATCCTCGATCAGCGAGAGAATAAGTTATCTAAATACCATCAGCGCTTTTCCTGAATCTGTTCACAAAGGTATGATTTTGCTCTGTTGTAGCCTGTGGCTATTAATTCCTTAATCACACTTCCTCACATACATACGAACCCTAGTTTACTAGCTATTTTTGTTTCAGCAAACATGAATAACGCAACATCCACAGATACAAAATGGTTATGTGAAACTCCAATCCATTCTGATGTAGAAGCCAAGCTGCGGGAGCTTTTGATTGAATTAGGGAATGCTGATAAAATACTTGGAATCCAGGTGCATACCTCTTCTCCAATATAATTGGTTTAGTATATTGCTTTTAATTAGTGTTTGTTTTACCTGATTCATTGTAGCACAAACGCACTTGAATTATACGTTTTGTGATTGTATTTTACAAAATGTTTGATTACTATGTTTGTTAGGTTTGTGCATACAAAGAAGGGAAAGTGATCATTGATACTGCAGCTGGAGTCATGGGAAAAGATGACCCTCGTCCAGTTCAACCCAATACCTTGTTTCCCGTTTTCTCTACAACTAAGGGCGTCACTGCAGGAATGATACACTGGCTGGCTGATAAAGGGTATATTCGTCAATTTCATATTTTTAACACCCATAAGAGGAGGAGCTAGTAAGTGGTATTATGTCATGAAAGGAAATAAGTATATGATATTTTTGAATCACAGGAAACTAAAGCTTGACGAATATGTTGCGAACATTTGGCCTGAGTTTGGTACAAATGGAAAAGATGAGATAAAGGTTCTCCTCATCCCTAACAAATTTTTTTCCTTGTGTAACTACCAAAGTGTAAGGAGCAAACATGAAAATATACGAAATTCACGTGGCCAAAGTGTGAAAACAATAAAGTGTAGGGATGAAACATGAAAATGTATTGTGTGTGTTTGTGTGTGTGTGTGTTGGGTGTTGGTGGGGAGAGTAATCCGCAAATTTTCTATTAAGTACGGACTACGGACTATTTTTGTCTAGACACATGGACCGTTTTTGTAAAAATAAAAATTCACAAGGACCTTTTCTGTAAATTATTGGGATACTTTTTGTATGTATTTGTTTATAATGTTTGCAGGTTAATCATATACTTAATCATACATCTGGTTTGCACAATGCTCTTGCTGGCATTTCTGAAAATGATCCTGCGTTGTTTTGTGATTGGGATGAGTGTGTAAAACGTATTGCAATGGTGACACCAGAGACTGAACCTGGTTGTGAACAATTATATCATTACTTTTCGTATGGATGGCTATGTGGTGGGATCATTGAGGTAACATTTACATGCATCTTCTATTTTACGACTGTTTTTAGTGATATACGACGAGGGTAATTACGTCTTTTACTTTGAAAAGAAACTAGACTGAGTTTGTGTCCCATATAGTCCCACTTTGTTCGGCCTTTTGTGTCGTGTCATCATGTTCTACATGACTTGAAGATGCTTTTTTTTTTTTTTTTTTAATTATTTTCATTGATGTATATGTTATCTTAAAATGTGCAGCGTGTAAGTGGGAAAAAATTTCAGGATGTTCTAGAGGAAGCTTTTGTACGCCCCCTTAATGTGGAGGGAGAGCTTTATATAGGGATTCCTCATGGTGAGATTTATGTAAAAACTCATGGAACAAGAAAAGCTATTGTTTATTTCTCAGTTTAACAACCTAACTTTTTTTTAACAGATTAAAGATTAAACGTTATATAGTTTTTGACCATTTTAAAACTTATTTTCCTCGATACCGATATTAAAATATAGAAATTAATATCCTGCTTTCACCATTTTATTAATTTAGCTACTCAACTACTTTTTTTTATGCTTTTCCAAGGGGTTTCACTAGTTTTTGGAAACTAACTTTTCAAGACGCGTTAAAGTTGTCAACTAACCGATTTTATGTTTTAAAAGGGTAGTCAATTCATGTTTTCTGTATAATTACCTTCCATAATCTCAAGCTGGATATGTGAGCACTCTTTTAAATATTATACTTTTGGCCGCTTTTATATATTTATTACAATTTGGTTCGAATTTAAAATTTCGATACGAATTCGTCCCAAATTTAGTTTTTTATTTTAAAATTTATATTTCTACAACCTTTTTAGACTTTTTTATAATGGTTTATCAGATTTTTTTTCTTTAACGTTTTTTTCGAGCTTTAAGAAAACAAATAATTGTTTTAGAATATTTTCTTAACTCTTTATTTTCCAACTTTTGCATTGACAGCATTGCCTTATACACATTAGCAAACCCACCTTTTTTATTATTTCCTATTATTTTTATTCAATTTTGTTATTTCATCAAATCCAAGTACTGCACAATTAGCGACTAAAATTGGTTTGCTAATTTATATAAGGCAATGCAAAAGTTGCGGAAAAAAGTTAAAAATGTTGTAGTAGGTTTTTTTTTTTTTAAGTTGGAAAAAGTTAAGAAAAAATCTTACAAACAATTATAAAAAAGTATTAAAAAATACGTAAAAAAAAATAAATTTGGAGCAAATTCATAACAAAAATTGTAGTAATGTTTAAATTTTTGGCTAAACGTCTCAAATTTTAAGGAGGGGTGATCAATTCAACATGAGATAGCATGTAATCATAACCATATCGAAAACATGAGTAAGATACAGTTTTAAAATATGAAATCGATTACTTGACAACTTTAAGACATTTTTAAAATTTAGTTTCCAAAAATCAATGATAATCATTTTTTTGAATAGGTATGTCTTAAAATCTATAAATGGTGAAATTACGTTGTGTTTACATGGTAAAATGGATTTTTAAACAATCAAAAAGGTATATAATGGTTTTAATTACTATAGAAAATGCTATGTTTGATAATTCATAAGCAATTTGGTTTTTATGCTAATAATCCAGGTGTGGAATCTCGTCTGGCAACTCTTACATTTGATACAAATGAATTCAATACATTTGCCGCTCTACTGGCAAACACTGAGTTTAGAATTGCATCCGCCACACCTTCCTCACTCACTGCGGAATTGATTGAAGATCTTATTCTCTTATCCAACACCCTTGATGTCCGCCGTGCAATACTACCTGCTGCCAATGGCCACTTCACAGCCCGTGCGTTGGACCGCTACTATGTCGCCCTCATGGACAGTGGCACCATCCCTACCCGTCACTCGTCCTCTTCTCTTCCACCACTCGGAAGCCACCCTCACCACCCCACATCCCCATCCAATAACCAAAAATACAAAACCAACAATGCAAGTGATGAAATCAATACTAAAATCTTTAACACACGACAATCAAAACTTCATGATGCTTTCTTGGGTAATGGAGATTATAAGGATTTAATCTTGCCAAATGCAAAATTTGGGCTCGGGTTTGGGAGGGTTAAGACGACTGATGGTTTGGTGATTGGATTTGGTCATGCAGGCTTAGGTGGTTCAACGGGATATTGTGACATAAATAATAGGTTTTCTATTGCTGTGACTGTAAACAAGATGTCTTTCATGAATTTACCCACCTCGGAGATTATTCGATTTGTTTGCTCAAAACTTGATCTTCCTATACCTGAAGATCATGCGTGATCTTTTGAAGTGATCGAGAAATCGGTGATCAATTAAAGGGGGTTTGATCAAAACATGCTCATACTTACATAAATATGATTTCAATTTGGAAAAACTTAATGCTCCTGATAAAAAAAAACTTTTCCAACAGATAGTTTGCAATAAATGTTGTTATCATTGTTGATTAGAAAGTCATAATTCATATTTTATGCGGGTTATCATCCCAACGGATGATACTGTGTAAGTTCGAAATCACGTTTCTTATATTGTAATTTATTTTCATTTATCGTCGATGGACAATTGGGTTTTGTCTCTTTCTTATGTTGATTGTGAGGGATGGATTTCATTGTTGTGATTTCAAGTTTACGAAATAAAACTTTAGAATTGCCTATTAATTTGAATTTCGCAAACTAAGAAAGCTTACAAAATAAATGGAGAAATCAAAAATATTAAGTTACCTCGTGAGAGTCCAAAGTCCATATTTCCGATCTTTTATAATTGCTTATTAATTTCAATTTCGCAAATTAACTCGCAACTATTATCGTTTCGTGTTGATGTCGGGTATATAGACTCGCAACATATTGTAGTTCCGTCATCAATCTCTCAAACATAATTGACTGTTGACTCACTTTAATGGGTATTTCGATTCACAGTTTCTGTCGTGAACCCGTCATGGACATAAGTGCACCATATAATCAAGCAATTAACATATATACAAAAGACTAATATAATCTACTTGTATAAACACACACTGAGAGTAACTAAATCCTATCATACAATATCTACAGTCATACGATATAACGAGAAAAAATCACTTGAAACTGAAAAGCTAGAAAAATGACAAACACACTCGATTCCCCGTAAGAATTAATCTCACGAACCACCTAAATAACAATCAAAGGCAAACCTCAGTTTATAGCCCAATCCTCCCAACTTAGACAAAAAGTAAAAGTGATAAAAAAGTCAACGGCCAAAATCAACGATGGACGATATGACCAGGCTAGGCACTTCGCGCCCCAAAACATGAAAAAATTGTTTTGTAAGGTTTCTAGAGGCACATCACGCTCTATGGATTAGCAATAACTATTTCTAAAGCTCTTAATCCCCTCAACCAAGAGCTAAAACTTCCAAATTTGAATTTCAAAAGGATCTTAATGGATATCCATGGCTTAATCAACCATTTAACTTTATCCATATCCATGGCAACCACAAACTCTAACCATAACTCAAGATGTGACCATTAAGAAAAAAATCACATGCACGGCTTAAAAAGAATGCATGGAAACTCATTTTTCTACCATTAATGTTTCCAAAAGTTGTTCTATTTCAAGAATAATGTTTTGGAATTATCCAAACTCCAAAAAACATCTTGAAAACGGACTAACAAAGACCAATATCTCACCCAAAGTTTAGATCTATGGAATGAAATCATAAAGGTAGAGACTTTAAACTTACAATGATCCACAAATATGTGTGTATGCGTGTGACTATATATATATATATATATATATATATATATATATATATATATATATATATATATATATATAGTTACATCGGGTCTTGTAATCGGTTATCTGTGTGTTGCGTCTAACTCTTATGTCTGATGGGTAAGCATTCCACTTGGATTCCAACTATAAAACCTGAGTAGCATCAAGAAAGAGAATGTTAAACTTGCCTTAGGGAAAGTCCCCTGCGAGCAAGCTTTGATGATCAAGTTATATTGATATGTAAAGAGAGACAACTCCTCGTATTGAAAGGGAACCAACTGTATGGAGACAGAAATTTCTTTGTAAGAGAGATTGAAATGAGTGAAGAACACTTGGAGAGTTGAAAAACAACTTCGGAAAGAGATAATGTGCTTACTAGGAGTGGTACATAAAGTAAGTTTCACATAGAAAAAAATATAAAAATAAAAATGAGCTGAAAATAAATGATTCAACTACATGCTTTAGAAACAATGATTAATATATTCTTCACTAAAAATGAAAAACGAGGTTAAGGACTATATGTAAGGGGACTGTGTCATTTAATGATAGTCATGTTGGTAGACCAACCCCCACATTAAGGTAGTGTAATACCTATTTCAAGTAAATGGTCCATTTATGGCTTTGTTCCAATTTAAGATGTAAAATAATGAATTTTAGGATGATCACAATGTGAGGGGGCGGGCCTCACAATGTGACCTTCAAGGAAGATACATGCATCCATTGTTGTGAACCGCAACGTAACGGGCAAGTGGTCACGATGTGGCGGCCATCGGTAGGTTAACCCTAATTTTTCCATAATTCGTGCCCTATTTAAGGAAGTGAGGGACTTGTTTTGCACACCCTCAACCTCCAACACCCCCTTTATGCCATAATCAATTGTAGATTCCATTGTTGATCTTGAGAGCTCATTTGGTGGTTTTTAGCTCCTTTTTTAATAAGAAGGTTCCTTTGGTGCATTGCTTCATCAAGAAAACTCCTCCTCACCACCTTGTATTGTTTCTGGACCTTTGTAAGTCCTCAACTTCTTGTGTTTCTCATTAAAGCATGCTAGATCTAGTTTTTAGTCACTTTTCTCCATGTATGGTTTGGTTAGAATGCATGGAATCCATAAATTTTGCAACTTGATGGATCATTGAAGTCTTTTGTTAAGCATAAGTCTCAGATTTGAAGTTTGATGGTGGTTTGGACTCCATGCATGCAGTTTTGGTACTTTTTGATGGTTTTTCCAGGTTATCATTTCTATTTCATGATAACATATTTGATTCCAAATAACACAAAATGCATTATAAATATCATTCATCATTTAAATATCTCGTTAATATATGTAAATAATTATATGACATTTTGAAAAGTAGTTTCATTTATAGTTTATTTTTAGGGTTTAGGGTATATGTTTTAGTGTTTGGGGTTTATAGTTTAGGATGTGAATACTTTTATTTGGATAATAATTAATTTTGAGAATTAGTTTTTCTTTGGTGGGTATTAGATAGTTTTCTTTAATCAAGTAATTCTCTTTTGATGAATGGTTATGTTTTAGAAACATATTAATTACAAATAACATGTAGTTTATCCAGAAATAGTTTCTTTTCGAGTATAAATTTCATGTTACCTATTATGGATTAGAATTTTGGACATAGAGTTTTGGATTTAGCATTAAATAAAAAAGAGTTATCAAATCCAATATAAGTTTACCTTTGTAAAACAACAAACATAAAATTATGTCTAAAATCGGTCTTTTGTAATATTTTAATTTCATATTAGGGTATAATGTATAAGTGATGCAATATAAGAAAGTTGTTTCCGATAAAAGTAGAAATATATATAGTTGTTTTTGGTTAATTATAAAAGTTGATTATTTTAGATTAAATACAATATTTAATATCTAGTTAATCATAGGGAATCTGAAAAATCCTCCGTAAAGTAAAAATAATTTTGTCGCTTGTCACGTTCTAATGCATTTTATCATATTTGTTTATCTATCTGAATTTTCTATCTAATTTCAAAATTACTAAATTAAAATCTTATAAGTTTTATTTGTTTATTTATCTGAATTATTTATTTAAATTTAAAAGAAAAAGCACTTTAATTTTAATAATTAAATGATTTTCTTATTTTTCTTTTAAATTCAAACTTTCAAATGTTTAGAATTTAATATTTAAGTTTTTATTTTAAATAAACTCATACAATATATATGAGTTTAACACCTAATTATTTAATGAAACACTCTAATAGTATATTTAGTTGGCAAAGAAATAGAATTGAATTGACCATCTTTTTATAAAACAATTTTAATTTATTTTTGTTTAACCGTTAACAAAGTTATTAATCTGTTTATTTTTGTCTTCAAATGATATTAGGTTTAACAATGATTTACAAAAGGCAATTGGAAGATTATTTGTTTACTTAAATGATTTCCATTAAAAAAAAATAAAAAAAAAAAAAGTTTTAGTGTTAAATTATTAAAAAAATAAATAAACTTATTAAATCGAACAAATACTAAACTGTACTTGTTTTTATAATATTGAAAATTTTATATAGTAGTATATTAATAAACATCTGGATAGTTAAAATAGAAAATAAACTATATTTACCCGCGATCTTTTTCATCAATAGAGTGATTTAATCATTCTTTTAAATTAAGCAAAGGATTCAAATTTCATTCCTAGTCGATTATTAGAAAAAGATAATATCTACTCAAGATCTTTTTTATATTAAAATTAAACAAAGTTTTGCTAAATTTAGTAAGTTCTAATTACACAAAAAAAAAAGTAACTTTTAAACAACCCGGCCATTTTTTAGTTTCAATACATGACTTATATCTTAATAAGTAATAAAAATTAATATTTTCACACATTTAAATAATACTTTTTGTTTTCATTCTTGAATTATGAAATTTAGTAAAACATAAATACTACTTAAATCCTTCCTCTTTAACCACAATGTAATTTGAAAATGAATGAGAAATCATCATTGTAATACAAATTAATCATATTGTATTCTTTCAAAAGCAAAACAAAACAACTCAATAAATCCAATCAACTTTTCACATCAAGGTTGCAAAAAAAAATAGTATGAATAATTTGAATGATAAAATAGTAAAGTTGAAACATTTCCTATGTATCAATTTGAAAAATAAATTAAGAATAAAGATTTATAAATTGTAAGATTGAAATCATAAACCAAACAACCTGCTTTATGAATGGCTTATTGTTGGCTCGTATCTTTCACATGTCTCGAACATGTTGTTGCATTGTTGTGAATCATGCCAAAAAGTATTGTTGAATTGGTGGTTAAATCTTCAAGAAGATAAATTGATTTTAAACAGTTTGGTTATTGTTATGATGCTTCAGGAGTGAGCCATACTACCATCGTTGCTGAAAGAATCTTCTCATAATAATTGCTTATCATGTACAAAGCTCTGAACAACTTATGCTCCTGTTGCTGCTAATTGGTGTGACAAAAAAAAAATAAATAAATAAATAAAATAAAAAATAATTTCCACAGATTCAGTTAGAGCTATTTTAACATTAA